GAGTCGGATCCCGTCCGTCCCCGTCCCTTCGCGTCGGATCCCGTCCGCCTCTGTGGGCGCCATTATTTGGGGAATTTCCCCCCCAGAGAGAGACCTCCCGCCGGCGGGAGCGGCTTTTGGCCCATGGCCACCGTCACCATTTTTGGTGGAGAGAGAGAGAGAGAGAGAGAGAGAGTCAACTTTTCCGGCGACGGCGGAGCAGTTTTCCGGCGACCAGAGACGGTGGTGGATGATTTCCCGGCAACAGTATTGAGTTCGTGATGTTTGTAATGTTTATATTACTATTTTGTATACATTGTAATGTTTGTAATGTTTGTTTGTCTAGTTTGTATACTTTATGTTATGATTTATACACTTTCTATTCATTGATTTGTATTTGTAACTTTTGTTATTCAAGTTTGTATACTTTTATGTTATGATTTGTATACTTTGTATTCATTTGTTTGTAATACAAGTTTACCAATCTGTATTGTAAGTAGTGATATTCTGTACGTGTAGTATGCTTTGTACTGTTTGTAATGTTTGTTTGTAATGTTTGTAATGTTTGTTTGCAATGTTTGTAATGTTTGTTATTTTGTAATGTTTGTTGGTTTCTTTTGTATTGTTTGTAATGTTTGTTATTTTTGTCCACATGTTTGTCATTTTTGTCAACCATGTTTGTAATGTTTTTTGCATCACAAATCAATACATATAAAGTATACAAATTATTAGTACTTACAATACAAAGCGAAACATACTAAGAATACAAGCAAAACATACTAAGAATACAAACTGTCAAAGAAAAACATACTAAGAGTACAAACTGTCAAAGAAAAACATACTAAGAGTATAAAATAATGTTACAAACTATACAAACCATACTGACATTTTGTACAAAAATACTAACAATACAAACTAATGTTACAAAACATACAAACTATACAAAGCGAAACATACTAAGAATACAAGCAAAACATACTAAGAATACAAACTGTCAAAGAAAAACATACTAAGAGTACAAACTGTCAAAGAAAAACATACTAAGAGTACAAACTAATGTTACAAACTATACAAACCATACTGACATTTTGTACAAAAATACTAACAATACAAACTAATGTTACAAAACATACAAACTATACAAATCACTGTTCTTCCTTCAGACGACGTATACGAAGTCTCTCCACCGCCGCCGCCGCTCCCGCCGACTCTCTCTACAGCCGTCGTTACCTCTCTCTCTCTCCGCCATCGCCTCTCTCTCCTCCATCATCGTCGAAGCTCTCTCCGCCATCGCCTCTCTCTCCTCCGCCACGATCTCTCTCTCTCTCTCTCCTCTGTTTCTCTGCGACAACGGCCATTGCTGCCTCTCTCTCTCTATCTTTCAATCGAGGTCGCCGCCTCTCTCCACCGTCGTCGGCGCCATCGAGATCTCCATCATCGCCGGCGTTGGCACCGCCTTTCTCTCCTCCAGCAAAGCCGCCGCGTTTCTCTTTCTCTCTCTCATCCTCCGCCCACGACTTTCTCTCTCTCTCTGGACATTGCAAAAAAGGGAAAGGGAAGAGACGTAGCAGATGGAAAAAAGTATTCAATAATAATAAATAAAACAAAATCAAAAAATAGAAGTTAATAATTTATATAATGCCAAAACTACCCTTCTCATTTAATATTAATTAATTGGTTTATCTGGACCATTAGATCAATCCAAGAGCTGAGGGGGCCTTAGTCAAGTGACTAAGGACCCCCCCTAGTCACCAGATCCGGACTCCCAAAAATATTGTCAAAAGGGAAATAAGTTAAGATCAGCCAGTAATCACAACAAGCATACACATGGCATAACGCTAATAATTAATTAAGTGGGGGGTTTCGATTAATTCCATGGGGAATGATTGTATTCATGTGAGGAAAAGAAGGGGGGGAAAAACGAATCACCTAGGCCTGCCTTAGCTAATTAGCCACCTGGGAAAATGATCATATTATTCTCAGAAAATATTCAACCTGCTAATCAATCGCGACTTGCGAGGCTGATAATCATACGTGATCCTAGTTAGTGAGGCGTTAATCGCGATGACACTCATATGTTTGTCTGGTTTTGTGTTGACCCTCAATTTCTGAACCGGGAGGCGTTCTTATAGGACTATCATGTTTAGTGAAAAAAAATAAGTTTTTTCATCGGTAGTTCGACATTAAGTTAGATACACTTTGTTAACCGTTTAAAAATATATACATGCATTAGAATATTCCACGAAACGTATACTGATTAGTCTCGACTTGTGATATAGCTAGGTCTCATTCGATCCCGAGACCAATCGAGCAATCTATCGATGCGCTAAACCTCATCAGCTAGATGGATGCATAATCCCTGCGATCTCGACACGTTTTCCCTGACGAGGAAACTTGGAATAAATGATTGAATTCAAGAACATGAAAAATAGCAGGTGTTGGCCACCACCACATGAAAAGTTGAAAAGTACCCATCATCAAAGGGAACAAACATAAGTTACACTTACACCTTTTAGTCAATCACTTGTGACTTACATTTCCGATAAAGCAAATTAATCTGGTGATATGATGAAACATGATCACAACATTTCCGTCGATACATATGCATAACTTTTACCCTAGCATAGTGTTGGGGTGTTACTAAGATACTCCGTGCACAGACTAAGTAGTAGGGCGCACAATCGGCGATGCCCAACGCTCGATACCTGCTACAGGTATATAAGGGCTTGAAACCCTCCAAAGAGAAGGGACTTCTTCTCTCTCATGACTCTCCACTTTCTAGTATCTCTCTCCACTTTATCTCTCTATCTTTTTCTCTCAACTCTCACCTGAAACTTAAACTAACTTGATCGTCGGAGCTTAATCCGGGGGCATCCCCGGCTCTTTCACAGGTTTCTTCCCTCCCGACGAGATCAGACGAACGAATCGTGAGTCAACCCCACACCAACAAATATCATTGTTCATACCAGAGCTAGACGGTACAAACACATAGCAAGCAAGCATCTCACAACTCTCAGGTACACGATCCGGCTAGCAATGTGCTGAGATGAGTCGCCACGACGGTGTATACTAATCCTCGATATCATCGTAAAAATACAGTACATCTCGTATACCGAACGTTGAAACTACGAAGTGACATATGTTCATCCGACGATATTGACATGCGATTTGGGTTGACACATCACCATACCAAAAGTCATACACGGTATTCTTTGGGGGGCAGCCGACAATTGGGCCACATTCGTAACACGTACCGCCATTATTAATTAGTCTCAACCAAATCACCGGAATTATTAAAGAGCTGTGGGTTCTGATTAAGAGAATTGGGGAAAATTATCGGAAATATTAATGTATATATATATGCAGCTGCGCAACGGCTATACAAATACAATACCTCCCTGGCCAGCACGTTACTCTTAGGGGAAGTGAGTTAGAGAGATAAAATCTAAGGAGGATTAATGTTAGAATAATACTGGATTAATGTCAGCTTTCTTGGGGAGGATTAATTATTTGATTACATTGTTTAGTCATCAGAGCAGCTGGTGACGCGGCATATCTCTGTCGACTAACCTACCTGTCCTTTTGTTACATTTCTAAGGAATTTGTTTATTATTCCTTTTCATATATATGAACATTTAATATGAAAAAAATGTATATTCATTCATTTAGTTTCGATACAGATGAAGTTCGATTCGAGCTTTCGTTTGTTCGATTTCTTCAAGATTGAGCAAAATTTATCGGAGGTGGGATTAATCCTTGATTCGTACTACAAGGGACACAAATCTTGAGTAAATTTTATGTAGGATGACGAAAGAGCTCCTTCACTTAAAAATGGCTTAAATTAGGAGCCTTATATGGAGGAAGCGGCCTTATCCTACTACACTATGTATTGTTAGGTTTGAGGAAAGCTTCAGGCTAGAGTTATTCGATAAAAGTATAATCGTGTATCGAGCATTATACTACCATCAAATCGGTGGCATGATTATGTTTGTATGAACTATACCAAGACTTGACCATGGAGAAGAGGAAGAAAAAGAAATGATGAAGGAGTGATTAGTTGATCTGTGAAATGATGGATCTGAGACCTAATTTAGGGTTTAGTGGGAGAGCAAAATATGATGATATGATATTGGGAGAAATTATATTTTCAGAACCATACTTGATAGCCCATTGATAGAAAGGAAATTATTCAAAAAGAATGTGACCAGATGTCAACCATAAGTTTTGTGTCAAGATTTCCAAAGGGCTTTGATTTTTTATAAGCAAATAAAAGGGATTGATTGACTATAAGCAATGTTGTTGATAGCCTTTTAAGTTTTGCCAAATGGTAGATGAGAGGTCAATATTACTCTGTTTTTTGTTCTTTGTAAGATTGAAATAAAATATCTGATTCAACCGACTTTGTTATTTTCACTCATCTAATCCTTTTTACTAACTTGCTAATGGTGAATGGTCTATGCCTGGCTTGCTAATTGCCTCCCTTTCTTGTGTCAGTTTTTACTTTCCTAAATTAAACTGGAATTTTCTTTTTTATAACAAAATATTCTAGAAATTTTTAAAATCGCACAACAAGAATCGAGAAAAACTAATTATAAAACTATGAAAAATTTCATTTATGGTTAGATTTGAGTGTTTCTCGACTAGTTGAGTAATGTTGTGCCTTCTCGAGTTTTATAACAACTGGTCTAAATCCAATTGTGGAAAAATCAAATTTTGTTAATTTCACTTATATTTTGGTTTATTTAATGTCATAATTCGAGAGCAAATGATATGAATGGTACATATCCAAATACCCAATAGTGAACATTTAAATTCACGAAAGTTGAGACTATTATCTTAAAATTGAGATATTATCATGATAAAGATTATGACAGTATCATGATACCAATAAATTATGACAAGTATATTTTTAACATTTAAAACTTGAAAAAAATTTGGGTCCAAAATTTGAAGTTTTAACCTTAAAGTTGAAGTCTCATTGTTTTCTTTCTTACAAAAGAAATTGCCAAATTGGGGGAAAATACAAAATAATTTTTTGATTTTCTCCAAACGACAGTACCATTTTGCCCTTTTTCTCTTACGCGCTCTCTTCCTCCTTATTTCTTCTCTCTCACTCGCACAACAGAAAACCAGAGAGGCACCACGACCAAAAAAGGAACAAAAAAAAAAAAACCCCATCACCATAGCTTCAGAGCAAGAAGAAGCAGGAGCAAAAGAAGAAGAACAATAAGAACAAATCTGAAGCAATGTCGTCAAAGCGAAGAAACCCGCCATTGTTGCTTCTTCTATTCCTCTCCGTTTCCATTTCCGTTCTTTTCGTCTCCTCCTCCGCAGCTCCCGGAGCTGAAACTGCGACGTTTCATTTCCGAGCTCCTCGATTTCCTGGTAAAAAGAAAAAAATGTTCCTTTCTTCGTTCCTATCCTTATGGGTTTCTGAAATCTTTTTTCCTTTTTTGATAAATAATGTGTGTTTTTCCTCTGATGGGGTTTCCTTTTTTCTAGATTTTTCGAGAGCTGGACATGGCTTAGTGGCGCCATTCGGCATAAGACGCCATCTCGCCGACGGCAACTCGACGGAAGCCGGTGATGGGAATCCGACGACTCTGGTGTTGGCCGGAGAGAGGACTCGACGGAAAGACCCTTCGGATAACTTGAAAATCTACACTGGTGGATTCAACATCAGCAATCAACACTACTGGACTGTGAGTTAAAAATAAAAAAAAGATCTGTGGACTTCCATCACCTGTTTCAATGGTTTTTCTCAGCTGGGTTTTCAATTATGTCCTAAATCCATCTTTTGGTTTACGAAATTAGCTGATTTTGATTGACTAATGCTGCTGGTTCTATGTCATGGCAGTTCTATTCAATTCTGATTTACACATCGTCATTAGCAGTCTGTAACCAAACTCTGGCCTATTGTTGCTTGAACAAGTGATTGAATTTTTCCTTCTGAATTGCAGTCTGTGAGTGCAACAGCAGCACCATTCTTTCTCGTAGCTGGAGTTTGGTTTGCAGTCTTTGGGATAGTTCTAGCCTTTACCTGTCTATGCTATTGCTGTTGCCCTAGAGAGCCTTATGGCTACTCTCGAACTTGCTACGCCATCTCCCTTATCTTCCTCATCCTTTTCACCATTGCAGCAATGTAACATGACACTCTCCTTCACTCTTTCTTTATCCCATGGTTGTTGTACTACTCTTTATGCGGATTGGTTAACTAATTGTTGTTTGTGGGGGGGAATTCACAGTGCTGGATGTGTTGTTCTTTATACTGGACAAGGGAAGTTCATCGGCATAACATCAGACACATTGGACTATGTTGTGAGCCAGGCAGATGTTACAGCCGAAAGCCTCAAGAATGTGTCAGGGTATCTCGCTGCAGCCAAGTCAGTTGACGTGGACTCGATTTTCTTGCCTGCTGACATGCGGAGCAAACTCGATAACCTTGTGGCGAAGGCCAATTCGTCTGGGAACACATTGTCCAGCCGTACTCAGGATAACAGGAGGAAGATTAATGATGGGCTGAATGGCGTGTAAGAAGCTCTTTCAAACTCGAATTGAGTATCCGAGCTCGTTTGTTTGATCATTTCTTGATGACCATTTCCTGTTTGCAGGAGATTGGCTCTTGTGATCTTAGCAGCTGTTATGCTTGGTTTGGCATTCCTTGGCTTTTGTAAGTTCTCTTCTGTTGTTTGAAACGTTGCAGATGTTGGTTTCTAGGTCTCCTGGTTTCCTTTTGACATTGTGATGACTATGTTGTGCAGTATTCTCCATTCTTGGGATGACTTGCCTTGTATACTTGTAAGTGATAACGATAATCAAGTTATATGTCCTGACTATTCAGAAACCAGAAATGACGGTGCTGAATGTTGTGCACTTTGTTGTTAACTGCAGCCTGGTGATTCTAGGATGGATCCTCGTTGCTGGTACATTTATCTTGTGTGGCGTCTTTCTTCTTCTCCACAAGTAAGTTCCTTTCGTTCTCCCATCCGTTAACATTCACCCCCCTCATCACCCTTTTCACCTTACCAATTTCTGTTCATCTTGACACTGTTCATCATCGTTAAAATCTCTTTTCCAATACTCCTATGGCTGTTTGGAGCCTGTAGAGTATAATACCCTTGTCCTGCATCACAGATTCATATGCAAATCAGTTAACTTTTCCCTCCACTTGTCATTTTCCCTGCTGCTAAATGATCTCCGCTGACCTTGGTTTGGTATTTTGTGTCATCGCCATCGCCATCCAGTGTGGTGGCAGATACATGTGTGGCAATGGACGACTGGGTCCAGCATCCTACTGCCAAGACGGCCATGGACGATTTCATCCCATGTGTGGACAATGCAACTGCACAAGAAACGTTGGTGCAATCGAAACAGGTCTCTTTCCAGCTCATCAACTTGGTTGACACCGTCCTCGCCAATTTCTCCAACCGCAACTTCCCCCCACAACTCGGACCTCCTCTCAACTACAATCAATCTGGTCCGTTGGTTCCTCTTCTCTGCAACCCCTTCAACTCCGATCTCACCGTCAAGGACTGCGCTCCCGGGGAAGTCGTCTTCCACAATGCTACTGAGGTAAGCAATTTTGACTGCATTGGTCACAAGACCAAGTGGAATGGGTAATTCGCCTGATTACCAAAAGCTTTTAAGTTTTAAAGTGCGATTTCGACTACATTGTCACAACCTGATTACCAAAAGCTTTTAAGCTTTAAATTGCGATTTAGACTACATTGCTTGTGACGATTTGGCAACTGAAGTTTCAGAAACTTGACAAAGTCCGTGTCTTTCCAATGCAGGCATGGAAAGCCTACGTGTGCCAAGTTTCAAGCTCTGGCATATGCACAACCCCCGGCCGGCTGACTCCATCGTTGTACTCCCAAATGTCGTCCGCCGTGAACGTGAGCTACGGGCTCTACCGCTATGGACCGTTCCTCGTGGAGCTAGAGGACTGCACGTTCGTGAGGAGGACATTCACGGACATCAACGCTTCCTACTGCCCCGATCTCCGACGGTACACTCAGTGGATCTACGTCGGGCTGGTGATCGTCTCGGCCGCTGTGATGCTGTCGCTGATCTTCTGGGTGATCTACGCCAGAGAGCGCCGGCACCGTGTGTACACCAAGCAGTTCATGACTGGCGGTGGAGGAGATCACAACAAGGGTCCGGGGAATATATGAGTGGTTTTGGAGGGAGATTTGATTGATTTATAGCTTTTGTAAATTTTGGTAGTTGTTTGTTTTAGGAGTGATATATATGTTAGATTGGATGAGAGTGGATGGTGGTTTTGCTTCATATATATGTGTACCAAGTATTTAAGCGACGAGGTTAGAGAGTGTCTTGCTGTGTAGAGTGGAGGTTGGAGTAATAATGCTTGAGAATGGCCATTGAATTGGCTTGTTCGTATTTGAACTACTCGGATACAGCGGCACAGAGCTAGTTCGTTCTCTCCGAAATGTATCGAGTATTCTAGGGCTACTATGGCGGACGAAGGAGATGAACTCCGGCCGCAGGTAACACGTTACGCACTGTAGTACCTCGGGTCATAAATACTGTTAGAACAGAAGAAACAGGGGAGCCTCTGTTTCCACGGAGAGAAAGCCCATCGATGGCGGAAACAGAGGAATTAGCTTCAACGACTAGTTAATTTAATGGCCCACTATGCAACATAGGTCGGGGAAGGAAGCAAGGAAGGAAGGAAGGAAGGAAGGAGAAGGATTTTTTCCTCCTATCTCTCACTTCTTGTGGTGATCAGGGAAAGAGCAAGTGATCGGAGAATTTATGCCTGGGGAAGGAAGGAAAGGCAGGGGAACTCCGGCGGGAAATGACGAAAAGCGAAACGTTTCGGGTTCTAAAAGACCAAGTACGAACGCGATAAATTGACGAGGTATATTGACTTTCTCATGACATATTGACGCTGACATCTACTCGACCGGCGGTGAAACAAACAGGGGGGAAAGAACGTCACCGGGAAAAACAGAGAAATAAGCAGAGGTACTCTGTTTTTTTCTTCTTCTCTTTCCCGGCGATGGCAGACGATGACAACGGAGTGGGAATTAGTTCCGACCTCCCGGCCGGCGGGTTTGGAGTAGTTTAAGCAAGCAGTTATTGAGTGTCGGATCAAGAACCGAATAAATAATTGATGGACGGACAGTCTCCAGTCTCTCTCCCACGGCCACCACCGGAAGTTGCAGATGCAACCCCCATGGAATTAAGCTTGATTGATTCCACGAAGAATTCATTCCCCCTTCTCCAAATTATAACAAGAACAATGATGGAGATTGGAGGCATTGTTTTCGCTGCAGGAACCGAAACAGTTTTCTCCCCGACACACGTCAGTGAATCTAAGCCGGCACCCATGTCTGGCTGCCTGGTCCATTGTCCATCCACATCACGGCGTAACTAAACACCATTAAAGAAAGAAACTTACCGTACAGTTAGAACACGTAGACGATGACCCACCACCTCAACTCCGACCCGCCCGGATCCGATCCATCACCACCACCACCACCACCACAAACGAGGTCATGAAATCACAAGTGTCCCACGTAGGAACTAATTCTCGTCACACACGTAGATAGAGCAACTGTCACGTCCAAGGGTGAGGGGACCAATTTTGCTCCATTTGTCAGGGTCAAATATGTTGTGTGCCATTCCGAACTACCGAGGAATTAAATAGCGTTTATCTAGTCCAATTTGCGCGAGGTCTCTTGGGGAAGGAATCCAAGAGTAAATTCGAGTGGACTTGGTCCAAAATGGTCAAAATATCGTATTTATTCGGTTACGCCAAGTGGTATCGGAATCTGATTCGGGGCAATGGATGTCAGCTCGGTGTATCCTTATTCATCGACCTCGAGATTTGAGCTCGACGTCTGTTTGATGGATCTAGTAGAGATCCAAATTTGTCTGGGATATCAAAGGAGAACTGCATCCGTCTAGCATATCAAATCGCTAGGGAGAGGACCGCGGAGTTCGTGGTCCTTGTGTTGAGGAGAGGATTGTTATGGTACGATCCAAGTTCGGCATCGGAAATACAAGAGAATACACCCTTGTATATTAGTGTCCACCCTACCCAATTAGTACGATATCTTTTCGGAAGTATACCCAAAAGTAAATCATGTGTGCTTGGCCCAAAACGCACAATGTCGTACTAATAAGCTACCTGATCAAGATGACAACTACCTAAATGAAGCTCTGAGTTTATGCAATCAACATGCTAGATGAGTTGAAACCCCAGTTTATCCGATTAGCCCAGTAGCCCACCTAATCGAGTTAAACTGCTACAGCCAAACCCAGCAGCTCAACTCTTAGCATGAACCCAGTAACGTTGTTGTGCAGAGAGGTAAGGCAATTTGTCCCTTTCAGTTCCTTCCAATAACTCTGGTTCTACAGACCTCGTGTCCATGTCGCAGTTTGGATCATGGGTTTCTCCTTTCGTTGTTCCCATGGAATCAAATACCTGATAATTGGAATTCAGAGGTCGAATTGGAGAGTGCCAAGTGGGAGGTTGTGAATAAAGGCAGGGCAGAGGAAGAGGAATATTCCGATTTTAGGTTGGCCCACATGATCATCAACCGACCTTTGTATAGAGCCTGGATTCCTGGCGGGCGGTGGGTTGACTCGTTTTTTCGGTTCATAATTTTGCCTACCAAACCCACTCACCACCATACCCTCAAAAGTTGGAATTAAAAAAAAAAACCAAACAATCATTGATGTCGGTTTTCTGTTTCTGCATGTGCATAAACTAATCAAGCCATAACAAAGAATCCACTACTCCAGGTTGTAACTCTTTTGAGAACATAATAGAACTGGATTTCTTGAGATATTGATCAAAGATTTCATTAATCATGAGTAAAGGAATATGCATGAATGTGAGATGATGATCTTTCTTATTTGATATATTTATAAGTGCTTATTAATCGAGGAGTTTGTCAATAAAAAGTTGACCTACAATAATTTACGTGTTTATTATTGTGACAAAAGAAGCCGTGTAATCACAATTTTTTTCCTACTTAAACTATATACGAGTGCGTGCTTTTACAAAAAAAGTGAAAAGGATGAATTAGGTGACACTAAATCTTTGTAGTATTTTAGTTAATATTTCGAGTACAAACAAACTCTACTTCATATAGATATAGAGAGATTTCTGTTTGATTTATACAAATAGGAAAGAGACTACCTGCTCAAAATTAAACAAAATGTTAATGAAATCCCACGTTGTGTATTGTTCGACAAGTTTGTGTACAAGACGTAATTGACCGACTCTGATTTACTTGCTACTTGAAACATAGATAAGTTTGGGGGGAAAACAATACTTAAAACCGTATATAGAGCACTAGATGTATGCAAAAGTTGAAACAGATTAATTAGGTGACACTAACGCTTCCATGAGTATTCGAGTTCAACGAAAGTAACATTATTTGATCATTGTTGTATACAAATGCTACATTGTCCCTTGATGCTCAAAACTGACTGAAAACATTAATGATCCCACATACTATATTAAGAAACTCGATAACTCTATCCGTTAAAGTTTTGTATAACTCGATAACTCTATCCATTAAAGTTTTTACCAAGTCAATTGAGGGATTTGTCCCCAAAAATATTGGGCAAGTTTTGTGGAGTGGGCAACCGGAAATTAGAGCCATTGTTTTATGCAATTTAGCGTACAACCACTCGAAAATCTCATGCTTGGATCGAAGATCGAACCGGTAAACCCAAACAAGATTCAAAATCTCATCTTCTATGAAATGTTAGTGACAGTTTCTCCAGGAAAAAACCACAACAAAATCCAAATCCAAATTTCATCCATGATGCATAACCTATACAACCAACCGGTCCGACCAAATCGAGTTAATTACTAAATTCCCAATTAAACTCCCCAATTTCTACCCTCCTCCTAGTCTTCGGCCATTCTTTTCTGTCGCGCGCGTAACCGCTAACTAATCTCATCCTTTCCGCCACCTCACTTCCGCAATGACCATCTAACCCACCCCGCCCCACCTTAATTATCTGGCGACACCGAGGACACAATAGTAAAATCACACCGATACAAAAACAACCGCAAACCCTCAATTTCCCATACTACCCTCCAAACCATCTCCCTTTCCTCCTTCCTCTCCAGGGGCAAAAAAGTCTACCGCCAATCTATAAAACCACCGCTCAGAGTCGGTAGGTCGGCTTGCCTCTGTTTCCGATTACGCTAAAAAACAGAGAGAAAGGATCAAGATTTCTCCCCAGTATAGAAAGAAACAGAGAGATTCTTCCCTTACCCATCACGAATCAAATCCAAACAATGGCGACTGGCAATTCTTCTTCTTCTCCGGCGAATTCTATCAAGACACGGACGTGCCTCTGCTCGCCGACGAACCACCCGGGGTCGTTCCGCTGCAGCCTCCACAAGAACCGGTCGTCGGCGACGAGCAGCCGTCCGTCCCGGCGGGAACTGGCTGCGGCGGCGGCGATGGCGAAGGCGCTCACGTTGAGGGCGTTCCTGCTGCAGATCATCAAGCCGTCGAATCAGGACCAGAAGCGGCGGAGGAATTTCCAGCCCAGGCCGTCGAGGTTTTGCACGATGAACGGCGGTAGTGGCGTGGCGGTTTCGTAAAGACCCGTCGTCGTCGATTCCTTTTTCTGGGTTTTTTTCCCCGATTGTTTTTTATTTGTTCTGAGTGATTAGTTGTTTGGTATGTAAATAGGGGGGCAGAAATTTCTCAGACGGATCTGTTTTTTGATTGGATTCTGAGAAACAGGGGATAGGTGGGGAAATGGGAAATCAGGGTTTTTACATTCTTTCCCTTTTCAGGAATTTGTTCCATGTCGTAATTCAACCTAATTTCTTTGTGGGTTTAGTTTAATTCCATTGATTAAAGCTCTTTGCGGAAGATCAGTCGCCAAATCAAAAGGCAGAGGAAAAAAAGCCTTGTACAATGCCTTTTCTTGGTGTCACTAAAGCATTCAAAAGGCAGCCCTAAAGACTCTTTGCTTCGTTGTAATAGTTTGGAAGATGCATCGATTCTCTATGTTCTGAATTGAATTGTGATTGATAATGTACAGTTAGTTCTATGTAGGCCTTAATTGGAGTGTAAAATGGTATGGAAGACTCGTACGATTTCTTGAGTAGAGAATAGAAGAGATTCATGATTAGATCGTTGGAAATGTACGGTGAAGACGAAGTGCGCGCTTATGAGTTATGATGAGTGGTTGAAACCAGAGGCTCCATCCATGTGGGCAAATTTACACCGAATGGGCCTAATGGGTCGATTTGTGTTGGGCTAAGGCCTACGGACTATGGGGCTGGTTTTGGAATTGGGCCATGAGCGGTCTGATGAAGAGACCTAGCCAGACAACGTATTGCCACGGGCATGCATGCAATCCAAAATGCATGGTGTAAGCCTCTAGTGTTGAGGTCCGGTTTGAATTCTCAAACAATGATTTTTACCCGCGAAATCCCTCCTCAAATCGGTCATTTAGTTGATATCAAAGTTCCCAATTTGTAATGCAATATGTTGACAAAGCCGATTCCACCTTCAGCGAGATGATTTCTCCTCAACTCACTAGGATGAACCAGTTGACATCTCTTAGCGTGGTGTACACCAATTAATATGGCAGATGCCCTTAAAATACTGCACAGTTTGTTAATTACTCTCAATGAAGATATATATAGGGAATCAATCCTCTTATCGCCAATTATACTTCGTACTATCGACACCAAAATAGTCAGTAAGGCCGACAACTATCGATGCAGGTGATGATAACAAGGAAGTGAAACTACATTGATACAGAGAGGTTCTGTGAAAGTAATGGAGCGTCATTTATAACGTTTGTTGATGTGACTTGAATCGGACTATCAGCCGCTACGACTGGAAGTCACGGGGGTGGCCCGCGGTGTATGGGCTCAATGTTATTTGGCTTCGTGTTCTGGGCCTGGTTGTAACCGCTTTTCCTTTACCAGATTGGATTAGGATTAGACCTTGGAGAAGTAGTATAAATACTTCTATACTCGGTAATTGTATCTGCTTAAGTATAGTGAAAACTAGCTCTCTCCTGCCAATGGAGTAACTAACACATCGTGTTAGTGAACCATGTAAATCCGTGTGTTGTGTGTGTGGTTTCGTTTTCGTTTCTTGCATTGTCGAATCCTCCTATTTCCCGATCCGCAGAAAAAATCGTGACAATGTTATTGATGATCACAAGTGTCCTCTACATAAAATCGTATTGGTATGGTTTAATTTTACTTTGTTAGCATCACCATAACTACTTGTTACTATGTTGTGTGATAGGGGTGACAAACGGTAAGCTGTTAACCGGCGGCAAACGGTAAATCGATTACCGGCGGTATCGATAGTCGAGTGTGAAATGGGGAAGTTCGGTTAATCGACCCCAGTTACGGTAAATACAGACGATTAGTCGGTAATACCGATACCGAGGACCCGTATAAGAGTTAACATATAACATATATTCCATTATTCAAAAATATTACATACATGAATGGAAGTAAGTATAGGTCTCAAAAATATTATAAATAAGAGTTAATAAGAAATTATTAATTACAAAAATAAAGAAAATAATTCAGAAAAATTAAAATTTTACAATCTACCTTCCACCGCCTAGAATTTTGGTTCGGTAATTTTCCGGTAAACCGAATCAAATACCATCTGCAACCCCTCCTCACGGTAAATCGATAAACCGGTTTATAACCGTTTACCGGAAATTCGGTAACCGATAAACCTATTACAAACCGGTAACGGTATTCGATTTCTCCCCTCAATGTTCGGCATACCGTTTATCAGTTCGGTCGGTAACCGGACCGATTGTCACCCCTGATGGACTATCTTCAAGCGCCAACCATGTACTAGGTGATGGACCAATGACCATGGGGCACGTAGTGTTGCGGTCAACGCGAGGAATGGAGTAATGGGCAAAAGGAAAGTCCACCGGAAATCTATAAAAACCACCGTGGCAGAGTCGGCCGGCTTTCCCCTGTTTCCGATTACGCTCAGGAAACGGAAACAGAGGATCAAAAAAAAATTCTCCCATTATAAAAAGAAATGAGAAGATTAATTCCTCCCAACCCATCACAGATCGAGTCTCGACAATGGCAGCTGATAGTTCTCCACCTGCTTCTTCTTCTTCTTCTTCTTCTTCTTCTTCTTCTTCTTCTTCTTCTTCTTCTTCTTCTTCTTCTTCTTCTTCAGCGAATTCCTCCAAGACTCGGAGTCGGAGTAGTACTACTAAGTGCCTCCTCTGCTCGCCGGCGAAGGACCCAGGCGGCCTGTTCCACTGCAGGCGCTGCCTCAAGGACCGGTCGAAACGCAGGCGAAGGAGGCGGGCAAGAAAGGCGAAGAAGGAGCTCACGCTGAGTGCCTTCCTGCAGCGGATCATCAAGCCGCCGAGTCGAGATGAGAAGCGGCGGAAGAATTTCCGGCCCACGCCGTCGAGGCTTTTCAGGATGCACGGCGGCAGCGTATAGCGGTTACGTAATGATCGCTCGTCGTGGGTTTCTTTCTTTCGTTTTTTTTAGCGAGAATTGGAATTAGGATTGTAGCTTAGATTAGTCGTTTGATATATAGGTAAATATAGAGGGACAGAAACTCGTTTAGTTCAACCTCCATTATTGATTAACGTTCTTCTGATTCTGGATTCATGTCCTTGAGATGATGATCTGCCTGCCACCAAATCGTAAGGGTAGAGCAAAGGCCTTTTAATTAAGTGCTGTCACTAAAGCACACAAAAGAAAACCCTAGAGGATATTTGCTTAGTTTGTAAACCTTTGCCAATAACTAAATTGGGATTTTAGAGATATAAGACCATCTCTAAACAACTAAGGCAAAATGTTAAAAATGCTAAAACACCGTCTTTAGTCCACAGGGACACCTATAAGTTTTCTATAAATCGTCTCTTTGATGGGTGTCGGAGAGATCGAGCGCGATGGGTGTCGGAGAGATCTCGAGAGGGTGTGCGCCGAGGGGGGGTGTGTCTCTTCAGTTTCTCCGTGTGTGTGTTCGTCTTGCAGGTCACAGGTTGCGGACTCTAGCGGTGGCGGCGGCCAAGGGAATAAGTGTTTGAGGGCGACGAGAATCGGCATGAGGAAAGTGTCAATTTGGAGAGAGTCGGCGGAGAGGTCAGTTTGGTATAAGCTCCAGGTGGAAGAAAAGCACAAGAGATGGTCCATCCTGTTGAGTGAGACGCATATAGCGTGGCTCCAGGGAGTTTTGCAGATCGCAGCGACGAGGAGTTGGAACTTCCCCAAAGGGTGTATCAAGAGAAGCGGAGATCGTATTATTCATGTGGGGAAGGTTACCTCTAACCGAAGATCGATACTGCAAATTTCGGAACAGGTGAAGAGTGGTAGGGTGTTCAAGGTCCTTATTCCGTCCTTGGGAAGGGAAGACGGATGGTCGCGGGTTATCTTCCTTCTCCAGGATTTCTTCAAGGCCGAACGCAACTTTGCAGAGGCACCGATGATTAACAGGGTGAGCGCGCAACCACCCCTGCTACCTCCTCGCCCTGCTACACTGCTTTCCTATGCGGAGGTGGTCAAGGGAAATGGTTTCTATGGTGCGGGAAGATGTGATATCAAAGGGTCAGGGTCTGATAGATTCATTGAGGTCGGTGATGCTGGGATTCGAGAAAGGCGGGAATTGCTGGGTAGAAGTTTGGTCATCAAGTTTTCATCATCGAACAAAGATGTCTTCTCCTCTGCTCTTGTTCCAGAATTCAGACAATGGGCACGCCATAATTGGGATGCAAATGACAACTATAGTTTTGAAGACCTCGGCAATGGGAATTGGCTCCTCGTCTGTCCAAGTTTTCAGCTGGCTTTGAGAATCCAGAGTTTCAGTCAATGTATGTTCAAGAACTTTTCGGTGGATATTTCCTTTTGGAAAGAAAACGTAGATCTTTCAGGACCTGACCCGGATGATGTGGTATGGGTGTGGGTTTACGGCATCCCACTTCATCTCAAGAGCGTGACCCTCATCCAAACCATTGGAAATTTTTGCGGCTCGTTGGTGGAAATTGACTGGAACTCTTGGAGCTCCAATTTTATTAGAATCCGAATCCGCTGCGATGATGAACTCCCTTCGCATGTGCCTGTGTGCCATGGATCTAACAGGTTCGAGATTCAAATTTTGCTGCCGCCGGTGCATTTCGGCGACGCCCCTCAGGCGGCTCCCCATCTGGGGTGGAAGACGAAGCGCCTTCCTCGGGGCCCTACAGGCGTGCATGGGAATCTAAGCTGCATGGGGGCCGTCCCCTCTTCTCCTCAGAACACGCGCAGAAAGGGGCTCGAGAAGAATCGATCTGTGAAGAAGATTTGGGTCAGGAAGTTTGGGCCATGGCCCAACCCGAGTCCTCCTGGCCCATTAGCTATTATGTCCCATTCAGAGCGGGCGCCTCCGTTAAATCTGGGCCCGGTTGCCCACTGTAATGAGCCTGGAAGCTGCAGTCCAGGCCTGAGTCTGCACCCTGACCCGGTCATCTCGATCCTAACCCTCTTCTCGTGGGGTTCAGGCTTGCGGCCCAACATTTCCCCTCCCTTGCAATGCCAATTCCTTGCCGCCATTCACCTTCCAGAATGGGGAGTGAGCCTTGCTTCCTTCAACTCAGCTTCTTCTTCCTTCCCCCACCTCTTCTCTGACCGATCATCCCTTCATAGCAATCCCCCCCACCATACATACTTTCTCGTTAAAACCCCCCATCCCAACACCAATCCTACCAATCTTACCAATCTTTCGACCTTCTTGCCAAGTCCCTTACCCGAACCTTCTCCCTCTACCTCTGGCCTTTCTTCCCAACCTGCCTTACCCCTTCTGGGTCACCAGCCCTCCCCTACCCCTACCCCCACCTACTCTCCGCCTTCTTCCCCCCAACCAGACTCCAACTTTCTTTCTGAACTCCCCTCTCCGTCTTGCGTGCAAGATAGCCAAGCCATGGATCGAGATTTGGAATCTTTCCCCTTTGATGTTGGAACTCTGGAACAGGCTTGCATCCGGGTTGGGGGTATCTTTAATTTGGGCCATGAAGATGGACAGGAGATCTCTGATAATATTATCATCGAGACGGCGAGGAGCACACATCAGAGGAAGATTCGGACCTCTAGGTCCAGGCTCGAAATGGAGGAGCGCCGGTTGGGGCCTATTGCACCCCCTGTAGCTGGTCCTCGAAACAGAAAATTGAAGGGTAGGGCTTTGAACTTGACCGAGATTTAATGAGTACTTCAATTATCGTATGGAATGTTAGAGGGCTTGGTGACGATGGTAAGCGAGCGAGAATCAAGAGAATTCTGGGCAGAAGGAAACCTGACATTGTTGGCCTCGTTGAAACGAAATGGGATCAGTGCTCCGAGGGGTTGGTCTCTAGCATTAGTGGTAGCAGGGAGAGTGGCTGGATGGCTAAGAACTCTGTGGGAAGCTCGGGAGGTTTGGTAATTTTCTGGGATAAAGCCCGCTTCAAGGTTCTCCATTCTGTGGAGAGTAATTTCTTCTTGGGTATCATGTTCCAGGACGCAGTTAATAACAGCAGTTGGTTCTTGGTTGTTGTTTATGGGCCTCAGGATGTTGAAGAGAAGCTTTCTTTCTTGCGTGAGATTAGAGATTTCTGCATCCACTGGGATGTTCCTTTGTGTTTAGCGGGGGATTTTAACTTGGTTCGGTGTCATGATGATTACCGAGGTGGGAGAAGAAGCGAGAATATGATGGATGAGTTTAATGAGATTATTGATGAATCTGCTTTGCTGGAACTTCCCCTTGGAGGGAGCAAATTCACTTGGAGCAGAGGGGCAGGTCACGACTCTTTCTCACGGATCGATCGGGCTTTTGTTTCTCCGAGCTTTGATACTTTGTTCCCTGACTGCACTCTTTCGGCATTGGAACGCATCGAGTCCGATCATAACCCCCTGCTTATTAAATGGGGTGGTAATCAGAGAATTCGGCGGCCATGGAAGTTCGAATCAATGTGGCTGGAGGACGAGAGATTTTACAGTGGGATGGTTGAATGGATGAGGACTGAGATCAGTGGGAGAGGATCCATCTTTCGATGGGCCAAGAGGCTGCAAGACCTTAAAGGGAAGATTAAAGTGTGGAACAAAGATGTATTTGGTAATGTCAATGAGAAGATTGACCTCCTCCTTGGGTATATTCGCGAGTTGGAAAGAACCGAGGATGATAGACCCTTATCTTCTGACGAGGTGGCTGCTTGTGCTGATTTCAAAATCGAACTAAGCAGGTTACTTTTTCTCCAGGAGATCTCGTGGAGACAGAAATCCAAAGAATTGTGGTTGAGACTTGGGGACAGCAACACGAACTTTTTCCACAGGGCAGCTAACTACAGAAGGAAGCTAAACCTGATTGAATGCATTAGAATCAATGGGGCGGTGGTAGAGGGCAGGGAGGCGTTGGCTAGTGGGATTGTGGAGCACTTTGAAAATCAATTTAAGGAACTGGTTCATAGGAGGCCTTTCCCCTCTCATTACACCAGCAGGAAGTTGACGGTGGAGGAGGGCTACTCTTTGTCCAGTTGTTTCACTGAGAACGAAATATGGGAAAGTCTCAAGGATTGTGATGGTGGAAAAGCCCCGGGCCCGGATGGATTTTCATGGGATTTCTACAAAAAATGTTGGCCATTCTTACGCGGAGAGATTGTTAATGTGTTCAATGAATTTCACTCAACAGGGATTCTCCCCAAGTGTGCAGCCCATTCCTTTCTATGCCTCGTTCCGAAAAGAGATGCAGTGGAAGAAATAAAGGATTTGAGGCCTATAAGTTTGATGGGCAGCACAAATAAGCTGATTAGTAAGGTGCTGGCGAGAAGAATCAGTAATCTTCTACCTAAACTAGTGTCTGATAATCAGTTTGCTTCGGTTAAAGGAAGGCAGATCTCTGATGCGGGACTCATTGCCTATGAACTAGTGGATAGTAGAAGGAAAAGCAAGAAGCCGGGTTTGATGCTGAAATTGGATATAGAGAAAGCCTTTGACAATGTGAGCTGGGAATGCCTTTTCAGAGTTCTCTCGGAGTTGGGTTTTCCGCCTATCTGGCAGAAATGGGTTCGTGGTACGATGTGCAGTCCAGTTATCTCTACCCTGATCAATGGGGAGGCTAGAGGTTTCTTCCCCATGCAGAAAGGTCTCCGCCAAGGTGACCCACTCTCCCCGGGACTGTTCGTGCTTGTTATGGATATTCTTTCATACATGCTTTCCTCGCTTCAGAATGAGGGGCTGCTCAAAGGTTTTTGCATGAATGAGGCTGATGGAAGAGGGGAGGTGACACACCTTCTATTTGCTGATGACACTCTAATCTTTTGCGAGGCGAATTATGAGCAGATCTTACACGTCTTGGCAACTCTCGTCTGCTTTCAAGCAGTTTCCGGGCTGAAAATCAACCTGGACAAATCAATGATGTTCACTGTGGGGGATGTTCCTGACCCGGATTTCTTTGCCGCGATTCTCGGATGCAAGTGGAGCAAGGATCCATCTAAGTACCTCGGTTTTCCGCTGGGAGCAAGGGTGAACGCTGTGTCTACATGGGACGCCGTCATTGACAAGTATCAGCGCCGCCTCGAGGGTTGGAAGGGACGGCTGCTCTCCTTCGGGGCTCGTTTGGTTCTAAATAGCTCCATTCTGAGCAACCAGCCTGTGTTTTACTTTTCTCTCCTTAAGGCCCCAGCAACAGTAATCAATAGAATAGAGAAAATCCAACGGCGGTTTATCTGGAGTGGTTCTAGTGAGACTCAGCGAATCCCCCTTATCAGTTGGAATCTTTGTAAGGCTGAGAAAGAGGATGGCGGGCTGGGAATTAAGGACCTGTCCTGTTTCAATAAAGCTTTGCTTTCCAAGTGGCTATGGAGGTTTGCTGTCGAGAGGAATAGTTGGTGGAGGAAGCTTATTGCGACCAAGTTTCCGGCTGCAAAATCAGAATGGCAAAGTAGCAGAAGTACAAGTGGTTTTGCTGGTTCTGTGTGGGCAAGTATCTCTCGTGAGTATCGGTCATGGTGGAAGAGAGCATACATTGACCCGGGGGGAGGAGCCGGAGTTTCCTTTTGGCATGATTGCTGGATTCCCGAAGTCGTTCTTGCTGACACTTTCCCACGGGTCGCTGCTGCCGCAACAAGTCCTAATGCCTGGGTCTCCGACATTGTTTCCTTTTCAGGTGAGAGAGTCCAATGGGATATCAATCTTTCTATTAATTTGAGAGGGGGGGCTGAGAGGGAAAGGGTCGCTTTGTTTGAGCTTCTTAATTCTGTTGATGCATCTCGAGTGACTTGTGGGCCGAGCAGACTCGTCTGGTCGCCGTCCCCAGAGTCTTCTTTCTCTGTTCGCTCCATGTACAGGTCACTGTCGAGGAATCTGTTTCCAGGTGTGCCGCAGTTCCCGGTTGAGTCGGTTTGGAGGAAGATTGTTCCTCCCAAGGTGTGCTGCTTCATGTGGACGGTCGCTCACAGGAAGATCCTTACGATGGACGCCCTCAAAAGCAGAGGCTGGTCGCTGGCAAGTAGATGTGCTCTGTGTGCGCGCCGCGAAGAGACTGCTGACCACATCTTTGTTGATTGTGATTTTGCCAAGCAAGTGTGGGCTCGCACCAAGCTTATGTGCAGACTTATCGTCCCCCCTTCTGGTGACATTGTTTCAACCATCCGCAGGTGGGAGATAAGCGAACCAGACAGCCCTGATAGGTGGTTTGTGTATTGCGCTCTTCATGCTGTTTGCTGGAATGTTTGGTTGGAAAGAAATAGGAGAATTTTCAGGGACTCGTACCACAGCGAGGCGTACATTCAGCAGAGGAGCTCTCGTGCAGTGGCGGAGTGGTTGGCGGCCTTTGGCAAGATTGACAGCTATTGAGGTAGCTGCTGGATGCTGTGGATTTCGCTGGAGTGATCGCTCTCGGCTGTTCGGTGGGCTGTTGAGGATGTGGGCTGATGCTCCTTTGTTTTTCCAATCTGTTCTGCTGTGTTTTGGTGCCGATCTGCTGCCCTGCAGCTTCTTGTTCCTAGTTCGATTTTTGTTTCTTTTCCCTGGCTTTAGTTGGGCGACTCACGCCTTGTGAGACCCCTTCTCTTGCTCGTTTTTTTCTTTGTACCCAGACCCTTTCTTACTTTAATGCAAGCTTCACCATTATCAAAAAAAAAAAACAACAATTCCAATAAGCTAAAAAGTCAAAAATTGGATAAATTTCGGCCAAATACCCAATACAAAAAAAACAAGAAAAGCCAAATTCCAGACAGATCTATGGGTCGCACGGTTTTCCAAGGAAGCCGACGGGCGCAAGGGGTGGTGTTTGTGATAGTAACAACATATGGTTATGTTTTATTCATTAACAGGATAATTTTTTTCATGTAATGTAATATGTTATTTGGTTATCCGATTATCCGATTAACCAAACCAATTAAATTTTGGTTTGGTTAATTTGGTTTTCGTGTTAATTTGGACAGTTTGGTTAGAACATTTTATTCCATGATTAATGAAATTAAGACTTAATTAATTTGGTTATTACCATGATAACCATTTGAACACCCCTAATCATTATAGCGCTATTGATAATCACAAGTGTTATCTACATAAATTCGTATATATTGGACCATCTTACTATGTTGTGATGGACCATCTTCAAGCGCCAACCATGTACAAGGTGGCATGGAAACCCTCAATGTCCAATGACCATGGGGCACGTGGCGTCGAAGTCAACGCGAAGGATGGAAGTAAGCCGCATAAGGGAAAGTCCACCGGGAATCTATAAAAGCACTGTACGTGGCAGAGTCGGCCGGATTTCCCCTGTTTCCGAGTTCCGACTACGCTCAGGAAACGGAAAACAGAGGATTGAAATTTCACCCATTATAAAAAGGAAAACGCGGAGATAAATTCCTCCCCCAACCCATCAGAAATCAAGTCTCTGGCAACTGATAGTTCTTCTCCGTTTTCTTTTTCTTCAGCGAATTCCTCCGCGCCTCCGAACTACTACGTGCCTCCTCTGCTTGCTTACGAACCACCCGGAGTGCTCGTTCTGTCGCCGGCGCCACACGAACCGGTCGGACCGCAAAAGGCGAAGGCCCCGGTCAAGGAAGGCGAAGAAGGAGATCACATTGAGTGCCTTCCTGCGGCGGATGATGAAGCCGTCGAGTCGAGATGATACGCGGCGGGTGAATTTCCGGCCCACGCCGTCGAGGTTCTTCAAGATGCACGCCAGCAGCGCCAGCAGCGTAGCGGTTTCGTAAAGATCGCTCGTCGTGGGTTTCTTTCTTTCTGTCTTCAAAGAGAATTTTGAATCGGGATTGTAGCAATACATCATTGAATTGAGTTCAAGCTCATTACCTTGGGCATGTGAAATGTGAAGGCTGATGACCAATCAAGAGCCCATAATCTGTTTAGGGTATGCCTAGGGTTTTGATAGAATTTCGATTTGGAGGGTGTTATTAGTAGAGATTGGCGTGTTAGTATGACCAATAACCTCACAAAAATGAGTAATATATTTGTATAAATTAGTGAAATATAATTATTAGGGATAATAACAACGTTAGTAGATTATTACCTTAAACTCCAGTTAGTTCGGGATTTATCCATACCACTACTCATACAAGGCTTGGGTTGTTAATCAAAACCAAATCCATAATTGTTCGGATTTTGGATATCCATGAATATTCTCATTTAGTAGTATTATGCATTGGCAACTAGTATCAAAATTTTAGGAGTATAAAATTTAACGGCTCCGTTACCCCTTTCTAAATTTTAAACTAGTTGATGAGAATATTTAATAATTAAACATAAAAGGAGATTGGGAACCAATAGGTGGGAGACATGTGGAGGGGTAGCCGCTAGTGGCTGCATCCCAGGATGCTGCTAAGTTTTTTCCATAGATCATTACCTTATACTCGATCTAATTAGTTATGGATTTATTCGTATTGCACTACTCGTATAAGCTTTGGGTTGTTAATCAAAACAAAACTCATAATTGTTCGAATTTTGGATATTCATGAATACGCACATACAATACTTTTCTCTTTATAATTTTATACAATGAGTTATTATTTGTAAGCATATTATTATACAAGTTAAAAAGTTACTACAAGTTAGTAACATTAAGAGAAATCATAATAAAGGACACTGATTCATTGGGATGTAATATGTGCATTGGAAAGTAGTATCGAGATTTTCGGAGCATAAAATTTGAACTATATACCCCATTGTTGATATGACTTGAATCGGACTATTAGCCGCTACGACTGGAGTACTATAAATACTTCTCATACTTCTCTGTAATCTGTAATCTGTAATCTCCTTGATATAGTGAAATCGGCTCTCTCTCGCCAGTGGACGTAGCTAACACACATCATGTTAGTGAACCACGTAAATCGTGTGTCGTGTTTTCGATTCTCGCTTTCGTATTCTTACTTTGTCGATTCCGGCGATTTCCCGATCCGTAGCAGCGCGTTTATAACACCCATAAATATGTAAAGTATTATCGAATTCCAGATATATTATACATACGAGGCGTGAAAGGGAACTTAGTACGTTCAACCAACTATTAATTAGGTTGATGCCCTCTTCTTCTAATCTGATTGACACAAATTTCATATAGGAATTGACGTCATACGCTAAAAATTAGCTCAAATTATGTATAAAAAAATCATACGCTGTAAAAAAATCATACGCTGTACTTCCATATTATTTTCTGTCGTTAAGGTGAAGAACTGAACCAAGAATTCTCTTTCTTTATCATCAATCCAATCACTATTGAGAATTCTATTTTATCATCAATCCAATCACTGTTCACAGTTTTTCCTTTCTCTTATCAATGAATAAATCTCCATTATAAACGCTATACTGATCATTTTGGAAAGAAAGTGAGACGTGTGGGCTCATTGAAGTCTTCCTCCCCTGCCCAAAAAAGCTCTGGCCTTTCCACACCATCTGGAGAAGGGTTGAACCGTTGAAGATTGACGTTATTGAAAAGAAGATGGAGTGGGGAAAGGAGAAAACGAGTCAAGAAGATGGAAAAAGGATATAGGAACTGTACTGTGTACTAGTGCATCAATCTGCGCCACACTTTCAGCCAGAATTTGGTCATCCAATTCCCACACAGTCTCCGGCCGGCCACAGGGCTCTTGACTCTTTAAGTGTATTAATCAAAGAATCAGAACTCATTGCCGCCGCAGAATCGTTTCAGACCTCTCATCGTTCCGGGGAAGTTGTGTGTGTGTGTGTATAAAAGAGTCCCCAAACCAAAACGATCTTGAAACAGAGCACGGCTTGAAACCGAGCTACACCTTAATTTCCCCTGCAGTACTGGCATTCTAGAGTTTTCAAACAGAGAGATCAAAGATGGGTTATGGTTGGTTCATCACTGGCCTCATATGGGCTCTGGCACTGTTTACAGTTCCGGAATGGAAGGGCTGTGATGGCTGCTGGGAACAAGAAAGAATCAGTCTCCTCCATCTCAAGTCGTCGCTCAACAATCCGCCTTATCTAAGCAGTTGGATCGGAAATGGAACAAAGAACAGTTCCGACGAGGACTGTTGCCTCTGGGATGGAGTTGATTGCAATCCCGCCACAGGGAAAGTGACTGAGCTCGATCTTGACTCCCTCGACGAGTCTGATTTCAATTCACCAGCGAAGCCGGATATCAATGCTTCTCTGTTTCTGCCTTTCCAGGAATTGACTCTGCTTTATCTACGAGGCTATCATATTCCTGGTTGCATCGAGAATCATGGTTAGCGCTTCTTTCGTCTAATTAACCAGCACTACTCTTAATTTTGCTGCAATATACTTAATTGGTAGTAATCACTGCATATGGATGCAGGGTGGCCGAATTTGGAACGTCTGAACATAGATGATTGCTCCATTTCGTGCAACAACTTCCTTGAAACAGTTGCCACCGTCATGACCAATCTTACTCAATTGATGATTTTAGATTCGGGTCTTATCTCCACTATTCCTCAAGGTATTATGATCAAACTATTAGCTAGTTAGGTTGTTTCTTCCTCTTTAATTTTAGAGTGATTAATTAAGGTATAGCTTTTGAAATTCTTATTATGTGTTTGTCATGATCTATGCAGCTTTATGTACCGTAATGAGTCTCCGGGTACTAGACTTCTCTGCTAATCATCTGATGGGTGAGTTGCCACAGTGTTTATCAAACTTGACTTCACTCCAAAGCTTTTCTGTAGAAGATAATCAATTATCCGGAGATATATCTCTGTCTCCCCTACCATATCTTTTCTCCCTCAAACAGATTGACGTCCACGGCAATCAATTCCGAATTCCGATCTCTCTCTTCCCATTTTTCAACCACTCTCGTCTTCAATCTTTCTGGGGAGGTAATAACCAAGAAATTTATGGAGACGACCATCTTGATCAGGTACAGCAGGGTACACCACTTTTCCAGCTGAGAAAAGTGGAATTATATTCGCGACTTGGTTATGGTGGATATGTTGGACCGTTCCCTAAATTTCTCTACCACCAGGCCAACTTGGGGTTCATTTCTATCTCAAACGTCAACATAACTGGAGTTGTTGCTGGGTTCCCGTGGTGGTTGGTGACTAACAATACACATTTGGAGTTTCTTTATCTCCACAACTGTTCACTTTCAAGGCATTTTCAATTCCCAATCCACCAACAATTACAACGGTACCATCCTCATGAAAATCTAAAGGAATTAGATATCCCACCAATGACTTCTTTCCCAGTCCCATCCCACCTGATATATGTGCGTTCTTTCCCAACATAGATTTCCTATCTTTATCTGATAATGAATTCTATGGTAAAATACCATTGCAATTGTCAAATTGTTCATCATTCAGATTATTAGATGCTAGTAATAATCTACTACGAGGTGAAATTCCAAGATGGATTTGGAATATGTCTGTCGGCTCCATTCTAGACCTCTCAAGGAACAAATTCTCAGGACATCTACCTCCAGGTTTCATTTCTCCATTGATGGATGAAGTTTATCTATCGAGAAATCAGTTGGAAGGAAACTTGCCTGCCACACTATCAGATAGTCAAGATGGGATGTTTAGTGCTGACAATTATTCAGACTACTCAATAGGTGTCTTGGATCTTAGTCACAATCATTTGATGGGTACAATCCCAAAATGGATTGGTGGATTGCGTCAACTGAGTTATATCTTATTGAATGACAACCAGTTTCATGGTGGTCTTCCAGGTACATTTTGCTTGGAAACTTCGAAGTTGATTGACGTTTCTCACAATCATCTATCTGGTTATATTGGCTCCGAAATATTAACATCAAATGACACCAATTGCAATGTACACAACGCACACTATCGGCCTAAGCATGAACTGGAGTTTGTCACAAAGACAAAATTATATACTTATAAGGGGATGCCTCTCTTTTTAATGTCTGGCTTAGATTTGTCAAGCAACAATTTCACCGGAGAGATCCCTCCTCAAATCGGCAATCTAGGTGACATTAAAGTCCTTAATCTTTCATACAACATGTTCACAGGACACATCCCGACGACTATTGCAAATCTATCACAGATTGAAAGTTTGGATCTTTCTCATAATGATTTGAGTGGGGTGATTCCTTCTCAACTCATGGAGTTGCACTATCTATCCACTTTTAGTGTGGCTTACAACAACTTATCTGGTAAGTGTCTTCAAAAGATTGCACAATTTAGTACATTTGATGAAAATATCTACCGAGGAAATCCTCTTCTTAACTGCACATTACCACTCATGACACCAAATCCACTGGTAAGACCGACAACATATGATGGTGATGAAGAAGGAGAAGGGGGGTTCATTGACATGGAGAGTTTCTACGTCAGTGGCTCGATATCTTATGTCATGGTGTTGTTGGTAATAGCGAGTGTTTTGCATATAAATCCATATTGGCGACGCATATGGTTTTATTGCGTTGGTGTCACCATAACTACTTGCTATTATTTTGTGGTGGACCATCTTCCAGTGCCAACAAGGTACAAGGTGTGGGAACCTCGTGTATAGCTGGCGATTTCATAAACGACCAATGGGATGACTGATGAGCAGTGGTATACGTAGTATGATTTGTAATGGATATTTCTTTTAGTATTGATAAATTTCGATGTATACCGTTTCCTATATGTATTCCCAGTTAATTTTTTTCTACATTACAAGTCTTTGTAATATGAGTAGCTCATGTTAGCAGTTAGCATTGCATGTATGGACCAATAATTGTTAGTGAATGAGAAGTTAATCAATTACTATAGAAGCAGGTGTGATCAGAAGAACTCATAAGTCGTCGGAACAATGTTGATGGGGCGGCGAATGGTAGCCAAGGTATAGCAGGAGCAGGCTGGGTTTTACGAGATGCGGACAACGGTTGGATTGGAGGGTCATCTCGAGTTTGGGGTCATGTTCGGCCACCATGTCAGAGCTATGGGCTATCTATCATGGACTCAAACTGGCGTGAAAGCTCGGTTGTAGAACACTCATCGTAGAAACAGACTCTCAGTTGGACATTTAGCTTGTGAACAACATGACGGATCCTCTTCACCCGTATGCGGCCCTCTTAACAGCTATCAAGCGAAAAATTGTTCAAGATTGAATTGTGAATCTAGTTCATGTGTCTCGAGAAGGGATTAGAGTTGCGGACTGGCTCTCGAAACACAGTCTCATTTATCTCCTATACATGTAGTATTTTGCCACCGCATGCCATCAATCCAAAATGCACGGCTTATCTTGTGGAAGAAAATGGACACTGGGAAATTTGAGGCATGGCAGAGATTATTGATAATGGATATTTCTTTTAGTATTGATAAATTTCGATGTATACCGTTTCCTATATGTATTCCCAGTTAATTTTTTTCTACATTACAAGTCTTTGTAATATGAGTAGCTCATGTTAGCAGTTAGCATTGCATGTATGGACCAATAATTGTTAGTGAATGAGAAGTTAATCAATTACTGTAGAAGCAGGTGTGATCAGAAGAACTCATAAGTCGTCGGAACAATGTTGATGGGGCGGCGAATGGTAGCCAAGGTATAGCAGGAGCAGGCTGGGTTTTACGAGATGCGGACAACGGTTGGATTGGAGGGTCATCTCGAGTTTGGGGTCATGTTCGGCCACCATGTCAGAGCTATGGGCTATCTATCATGGACTCAAACTGGCGTGAAAGCTCGGTTGTAGAACACTCATCGTAGAAACAGACTCTCAGTTGGACATTTAGCTTGTGAACAACATGACGGATCCTCTTCACCCGTATGCGGCCCTCTTAACAGCTATCAAGCGAAAAATGGTTCAAGATTGAATTGTGAATCTAGTTCATGTGTCTCGAGAAGGGATTAGAGTCGCGGACTGGCTCTCGAAACACAATCTCATTTATCGCCTATACATGTAGTATTTTGCCACCGCATGTAATCAATCCAAAATGCACGGCTTATCTTGTGGAAGAAAATGGACACTGGGAAAATTTGAGGCATGGCAGAGATTATTAGATGAGGCCCAAAACACACGCAAAAAGAGATGGATCGAGGTAGAAGACAATGATACACTACAAGAAAACCAGGTTCTAGACGCAAATAATTAGACGCAATTGTTGTAGTGGTCTCTATAGCTAAACTTTAGGAGCAAATATATTATTTGTCTCAGTAGGTGAAATTATTTGTCTCTACAAGCAAATCTAATAATCTTTAAAGACAAATACAAATGTTGCTCATAGTTATGTTATATAGAGACAAATTTAATAGTATTTAGATACAAATATAAATGCTCCTAATACATATATCAAATAGACGCAAATCTAATAGTATTCAGAAACAAATACAAATGTCACTAATAATTATATATGTCATATGAAGAGAATTTTAATAGTGTTTAGAGACAAATATAAATGTTACTTATACCCATATCATATATTTACTATTTAGAGACAAATACATATGCTCATAAAATTGTTCACAATACACATTTGGAGTTTCTTTATCTCCACAACTGTTCACTTTCAGGGCATTTTCAATTCCCAATCCACCAACAATTACAACGGTACCATCCTCATGAAAATCTAAAGGAATTAGATATCTCCACCAATGACTTCTTTCCCAGTCCCATCCCACCTTATATATATGCGTTCTTTCCCAACATAGATTTCCTATCTTTATCTGATAATGAATTCTATGGTAAAATACCATTGCAATTGTCAAACTGTTCTTCATTCATATTATTAGATGCTAGTAATAATCTACTACGAGGTGAAATTCCAAGATGGATTTGGAATATGTCTGTCGGCTCCATTCTAGACCTCTCAAGGAACAAATTTTCAGGACATCTACCTCCAGGTTTCATTTCTCCATTGATGGATGAAGTTTATCTATCGAGAAATCAGTTGGAAGGAAACTTGCCTGCCACACTATCAGATAGTCAAGATGGGATGTTTGGGGCTGACAATTATTCAGACTACTCAATAGGTGTCTTGGATCTTAGTCACAATCATTTGATGGGTACAATCCCAAAATGGATTGGTGGATTGCATCAACTGAGTTATATCTTCTTGAATGACAACCAGTTTCATGGAGAGCTCCCGGGTACATTTTGCTTAGAAACCTCAAAGTTGATTGATGTTTCTCACAACTATCTGTCCGGTCATATCGACTATGATATATTCACATCAAATGGCATCAACTGTAATGCACGGAATGCATATGATGATCCTCAGCGTGATCTGGAGTTCGTCACAAAGACAAGATTATATACTTACCAGGGGAAGCCTCTATATTTGATCAATGGTTTAGATTTCTCGAGCAACAGTTTTACCGGAGAGATCCCTCCTCAAATCGGCCACCTGGGTGACACCAATACTCTTAATTTTTCCTACAACCTGTTCATAGGACACATCCCGACGACTATTACAAACCTATCACATATTGAGAGTTTGGATCTTTCTCACAATGATTTGAGCGGGGTGATTCCTACTCAACTCAAAGAGTTGAATTCTCTATCTTCTTTTAACGTGGCTTACAACAATTTATCTGGTAGATGTCCTAAGAGGATTGGACAGTTCGCCACATTCAATGAAGATATCTATTGGGGGAATCCTCTTCTTGTCAACTGCAGTTCGTCACAATCGACACGAAAACCGCCTGTCAAGCAGACGCCCACCGATGACGATGATGATGAAGACGGATGCTACATTGACATGGGGAGCTTCTACGCAAGCAGTGGAGTGTCTTTTGTCATGGTGCTGCTGACAATTGCGAGTGTTCTCTACATTAATCCATACTGGCGGCAAGTGTGGTTTTATTACGTTGGAGTCACCATAACTACTTGCTACTATTTTGTTGTGGACCATCTTCCAGTACCGACGAGGTACAAAGTGTGGGAACTTCGTGTCTAGCTAATAGTTGATGGTGGTTCTGCGAACAACATATATAGCAGGAGCAGTGATTATATGATTATGATCTGTTGATTGAATTATTGTCATTCATAGTTCTCATCAATGAATGATCTCATTTATGTATCCATTATTCTTTTTTTTATATATGGATGATGTAATAATACCCCGACTCTTCTTTAATTATAAACTAGCGTGGGCCCCGGCCAGTTGGCCGGAGGAAGATTAGGTATGAAATTTGATAATGTAATGGGGTGTATAGCTCATTATTGTATAGTTTTTTTGTGAAACACGTGATAAAAATAGTGAATTTTAGTAGGAAAGAGACATAAATGATGCAACGAATCAAAAATCAGCCTTATGAACCAAAATCAAGTACCTGTTACCTTGTGAAACAATATTGTTTCTGGCAATATGATGAGGTGAAGTAAGTTTTATAGAAACTGAATTCCATAAAATCGAATAAAAAATCGCCTATCCCGCCGGTTTTCGGGAAATGAGCATCTCACAATCGTTGCTAGCTTTTACTCGGCCCCTTGGCCGATTAATTTGCTTTATAGAACTTTCATCTTGTCGTCATTATGTTTTCTGGTTTTTGCCAAGCCATGATAAAATCTAAAGAAATCAAGAATGAACAACACGATTTGGGATAGGAACCGCCGTTCCTGTATCCCTAGAAAATGGTGGTAAACACGGACTCACCTGCCAAACTGGTTTGGATTGAGATTTTTATCGGGTATCAGGGAACCATATCATTATAAATTAGACATGATCAAAACGGGCCAAAACTTGAAATTCAGCCTGTTTGACAGACCCATGCCAAACTCTAATTATTCTTTACTTTTAAACTTTCTATTTGAAAATAAAAAATAATGAAAGAAAAGAGATGACTGCAATTCGCCATTTGCACATCGCTAATTCGGGAATAATACTATAGAATTTCGAAAGAAAGCTGAAAATGTTTAGGATCGTTTTAATGTTAAAAATAATCAAATAGATCTTTCTGTTTATTTTTTTACTAACAAATACCAAACGATTCTTTATAAAATACACTATAATTTAATAATTATGATATCAAATAATCACATAATATATATTTGAAATGATACAAATTGGACTAATTGGGTTGGTCGAGGTTGAACCATTGAATAATTTTAAAATACATTATATTTTAGCCACTAAGATATAAAATAATAGCATAATATATATTATGCTATAGAAAATAACTTGTTTTAGAATGGCAAACCCATGATGTTCATTTGTTTTACTTGATGGGAAAATCTCGTGTAGGTCAGGCCCATTCAACTCTTTTATTTTATGGTTAGCGGTTAGCCCATTAGAATCCATGCATTAGTTTCTTTTTAGCAATAAAAAGGAGTATTGTTTTTCCATTTTCATATATATTTACCACCACGGAGAAATAAAAGGACTTAAAGAAAAAAATTGACACTCCTAGACCCGTTTAAATCTGCATGTGTATGGTAAGATGGCACGTTCCACAGCGGAAAAAGAAAAAAAATTGGCACTCCCTATTCGATCCTTCCTACAAACGCTCCTGGAGCAGGGAATTTGAAATGGGGAAGAGTTTTTTCCTCTCTGCTATTATATGTTTTTAATTTAAAAAGATATAACAATGTA